GGGTTCAAGTCCTGCTTTGGGCTCTGTGCCTGCAGCCTGCTTCAGATTCTGTCTCCCTCTCTCTCTGCCCCCCCTCCCCGCCTCAGCTCACTCTGTCTCTTTCTCTCTCAAAAATAAACATTTTTAAAATTTTTTAAAAGCCTCAGTTTACAAAAAGACACCTGTTACCTTATTAATAAAATAAGATCCACACTAAGACACATTATGAAATCCAAAATGTTAGAGATTTAGAAAAAGATACTAAAGCTTCCTGTAAGAAAATAACTGATTGTATACAAAGAACTGGGAATTAGATTGGGATTAAACTTCTCAGAAGTAGTGCAATATACTAAAAAAAACTGGAGTGTTTTTAAATTTTTGTAAAATTTTATTTCCAATCAAAAATTCCTTATCCAAATAATTTATCATGTAAATATGAAGGTTAAATAAAGACCACCTCAGGCTTTTAAGATTTTAAAATACCTCCCATGTACTTTTTTCAGGAAGCTACTGGAGGATGTGTTTCACCAACATGAGGTTGTAAACCAAAAAACTGTAAGGCATTAGATTCAGGAAATAGAGAATATAAAGAAGAAACGCGTAAAGAGAATTTGGAGAAAAGTGTGGAACATCAAGTCTAAAGGTCAACCAGTTCAAATTGGAGCAAGACAATACAAGTCTACAGTAGAAATCTCAAAGATAAAAGAGCTGTTAGGTTACCTAACATTTTTAGTCATATTAAAGGAATTTTAATGTTTGGGAAGATTTCTATATTGGCATAGGAAATTAAGTGAACATCAACAACAAAAATTTATGTAATTTTAAACTCCAGGAAAAATAGAAAGCTTTAGGAGGAGAAAAGTAAAATCATGCTTGCTGGTTTTGCTGAGATATATAGCATGTATAGAGTCATGATAATTTAAATTCTGATTATTGAGTTAACTAAAAGTTGTCTACACACACACAAACACAAACACACACTGAGGCAGGAAACTGTCTTAGTCTTGAGTGTTCTGGAAAAATGGGGTCTGACAAAATAATTTAAATACTGAGACTTGGGATGCTTGGGTGACTCAGTTGGTTAAGCATACAGCCTCAGTTCTGGTCATGATTTCACGGTTCATGAATTCAAGCCCTCTGTTGGGCTCTGTGCAGACAGCTCAGCTCAGAGCCTGGAACCTACTTCAAATTCTGTCTCTGCCTCTCTCTGCCCCTCTCCCGCACCCCCCACCCCGTGCGCATGTGCTTGCTCGCTCTCTCTCCCTCTCTCTCTCTCTCTCAAATATAAATAAGACATTTAAAGAAATTTTAATACTGAGGCTTTATGGGGAAGGTATAAATCCAGGTCAGTAAGAGACAGGAGTAAATAAAGCAAAGCAAAGGAAAGCAAAAATGGTGGTAAGCAATAAAGGCCATATGTTACATGTTGGCCTCTCATTGGTCAAAATTCACCCACAGATATAATTCTCCTTCATCTGAGTTGGGATATCTGGTTCCTCCAGCAGCCATTGGGAAGATGAATGTCACATTCTGAGCACTGGAGCTTCATCTAAATCCAGATGTGGTAACACGAGCTAGAAATGTTGATCCTTGTATTAGTTGGCCCAGTTGTGCTGCTGGCAGCCAAGAGGAAGGGCTCAAGATTCCAGGGCAAATGACTGGTCATCTCCTGGGAGCAGTATCACAAACTGGGAACTGGGCATCACCAGGGGAAACTGAGGAGGCAAATAAGATTTTTACCCAATACAGAGAGTAAACCAGTATTGCAGAAAGAGGCTTCAAGGAAGCTGAATTCTAACTTTCTACAGTAGTATTTTGAGATAATGTCTAAATTTTTGTTTTTAATTTTTTAAGTTTATTTATTTATTTTGAGAGAGAGAGAGAGAGAGAGAAATCATGAGCAGGAGTGGGGCAGAGAAAGAAAAAGAATCCCAAGTAGGCTCAGTGGTGTCAGTGCAGAGCCTGATGCAGGTCTCAATCCCACAAACCACAAGATCATGACCTGATCTGAAACCAAGAGTCAGATGCTTAAATGACTGAGCCACCCAAGCTTCCCTGATGTCTAAATTTTTAAAACCAGAAAAATGATAACTAGCTAGCTAGACAAATGTATAAAGAAAGAGCAAGAAGCACCAGAAATACTAATTATTGAATCTAGTTGCCTCTGGAAATTACACAATTTGCCACGAGGGGTAAAACTGGGACAGTATTGTAGTACGATTTGCATGATTAACCTATGTTCAAGTATTAAAAATTGCAGTTAAGTTCAAAATAGAATGAATGAAAATCTTATATGCAAAGAAAAAGAGCAATGGCCTCTCAACAGACATGGCAGCCTCTGGAATTGCCTCGTATGGTTGGTTGAGCATGTGGGTGGGGTGATTGGAAATAAGCCTGGGGACATAGGATGAGGAAGATTGTAAATCATGCTAAGGACTCTTGACTTTATTTTGCAGGACTTGAAGGAATCAGTGAAGAGTTTAAAGCAGGAAAGAGATATGATCATATTTGCATTTTAGAAAGAATATTCTGGCTGCTCCTCAGAGAATACATTAAATGGAGAGAGGCCTGGAGGCAGAGAGTTGCTTTATGAAGCTAATGGAATATCCAAATAGAAAGATAAAAGTTCTGAATTAAGTATAATAGAAACAAGGAGAAGATAGGCCTATTAGTTGTTCAGGATCTGTAGACCAATTGGGACCAAGCTCCCTATGAGCCATAAGGAAGAGGTTAAGGATGAGAGAAGCAGAAAGAAGCCAATCATCCCACATAGAAATCAAACATACAGCATTACTCTTGGGAATATCATCCTAACTCTATGTAATCTAGTGTGAAATTCTCCAAAAGAGGCTTTTATTCCTTCAGCAAGTCTATCATGAAGTCTACCAACTGTAGTCATAGTTATTTCTTGAATATTTTAAGTGAACATTTATGATGATTGCAATCACGCATTTCTAAATTACTAAGTGGGAGTAAGTTCCTGTGAAAGTGACCTCTTAAAGGAAGAAATATTTTTAAATGCTACCTCCTCCTCATATGACATTTCTTCCCTATAAAAAAAGTCTTGCTCTTACCCATGCTGAGAGTGTTGTTTATGGCCCACTCATCTCATTTCTGTACATCAGTATTTCCCCTCTCTTCTACGCTCGGCAATTAAAATTTCTTTTCCTTTCACTCCATTGTGAACACTGCCAATGAATTTCTCTTCTAACATCCCATTTTAACCATGTTATTTATTAATTAAAAATCTTCAGGTTTTTTAGCTTCCTTGTACAATAAATATATGGACACTGTATAGTATACTCTCTATATCATTATCACGGTTAAGCATCTCAAAAATCTAGATAGTATGATTATTGTCCTTATGCTATAGATAAAAAGATCAAAGGGAAAAAAGCAATTTTTGAATTAAAATTGAGCATCTTTCCACTTTTGTTTTTCCCTGACTTATATTTAGTCTGTTATCAAAGACTCTTCAAAATCTACACACTCCAAAGCTCTCTTCCCATTAATCTCTCCTAAAATGTAGTTCTTAGGTGGAGAGACTTATGAACCCTCTGGAATTCCATCTGGTGTCCATGAGTAGGCTATACATGTGCATAAGCCTCTAAAAAGTATATAAACTTTTGCATTTATTTTTGTATGGTCATTTGTTGGAAGGGAATTCAAAATATTTATCAAGTATTTCACACTCCTTACCTTCAAGTACTTTAAATTTAGTGGTGAGTTAGATGCATAAACATGGACCAAAAAGATAGTTGATGCCAAAATGCTAGCTGAAAAATATACAAAAACAGTAATTACCTGAGTGCATTTGCTATTTCTTAATTATTAAAATTCTGGTTTTTCAATGATGTCATAAAAATTTTGCTGTGAAAGTAAACTCCAAAATATTTATTTGGTGATACTATAACTCTTCCTCTTCTAGATTATATCTGAGAAGCATTTTTTACTACTGACTAGTATACCATGCATCACAATGGCTCTAAGATGAAAAACAATGTCAACTAAGTGTACCATCTCAACATGCAATATCTCATGCAGAGGACTAAAGCAGATAACACTGCTTTGATATGCATTGACCTGGACTACCTAGAAAAGAAAGTTGCAGCACAGACGAAGCGCTAATAGTTTTTAATAAACATGTAATACCAGGGCAGCATGAGGAAAGGAAGAGGGAAATGAGACAGTGAAGGACCAGAAGGAATACAAGATAATGTGTTACCTAGCTAGCCGCTGATATAAACCGTATTGCAAGATGGCAGAGGCAGATGGTAGGCAAGTGACTTCTTTAGGCCACGGGGTATGATATGACATAGTACAACTTTAAGTTATACAGGAAACCATGCCTTGCAGTAGTCCACTAGAAAGAAGAAGGGAGTTAAACTTCTTTTTCCAGTTCCTTGCTGTCTCCTATCTCCCAGTGGACTTCTGGATTTCATCACCCATCTCCATAACATGTTTTATCATATGTTTATCAAGTCCTGACCCTTATCGAAACACGTGGCTGGTTGGCTTCAAGCAGAAGAATGACATATCCCAAAAGAGAGAAGAAGTGACGAGAAGACCCTGACGTGGCACATGAGATGTGTCCCACGCAATATCAGAAAAGGCTGCGAGATGAAAATCAGAATAAGGAGGAGTCAAGTTTACAAGAAACTGGTTTGGTCATCTGTCACGAACTTGAAAGGGTTTGAGGAAGTGGTACAAAACAAAAATCATAGGCCATGGTAAAGAAGTTGGAATTCGTGGACTGGGAAGATCATGAAAAATGTTAACATCACAGGTACAGTACTTATAGTGAAGGAACTCATTCAATTCTGTGCTCATCATTGGTTGTTGATGGGGGAAACAGGAAGAAAAGCTATGAGCATTCAGTGCCAAAACTTTAAAAGAACAAAAAATAAAATAAAATAAAATGAAATAAAATAAAATAAAATAAAATAAAATAAAATAAAATAAAATAGCAAAATAAAGCAAAATAAAGTAAAATAGAATAAAATAAATAAAATAAGGTAGTGGCCTTGTTCTCTGCCTTTCTCCCCTCGTAGTTGAGGCCGCTCCTGCTCTTGTCAGCCTCCGGCCTGCAGTCTCCTTGAGACCGAGCACCATGCCTTCAATTAAGTTGCAGAGTTCTGATGGAGAAATATTTGAAGCTGATGTTGAAATTGCCAAACAGTCTGTGACTATCAAGACCATGTTGGAAGATTTGGGAATGGATGATGAAGGGGATGATGACCCAGTTCCTCTACCAAATGTTAACGCAGCAATATTAAAAAAGGTCATTCAGTGGTGCACCCACCACAAGGATGACCCCCCTCCTCCTGAGGATGATGAGAACAAAGAAAAGCGAACAGATGATATCCCTGTCTGGGACCAAGAATTCCTGAAAGTTGACCAAGGAACACTTTTTGAACTTATTCTGGCTGCAAACTACTTAGACATTAAAGGTTTGCTTGATGTTACATGCAAGACTGTTGCCAATATGATCAAGGGGAAAACTCCTGAGGAGATTCGCAAGACCTTCAATATCAAAAATGACTTTACTGAAGAAGAGGAAGCCCAGGTACTCAAAGAGAACCAGTGGTGTGAAGAGAAGTGAAATGTTATGCCTGACACTGTAACACTGTAAGGATTGTTCCAAATACTAGTTGCACTGCTCTGTTTATAATTGTTAATATTAGACAAGCCGTAGACAAATGCAGCAGCAAATCAGTTGTTTTAGCAGAATATTGTCCTCCTTGCATGTGTTATTTGAGTACAGATTCAAAACTTAAGGCTGAGTTTCTTCTAGTATGATCACAAGTTTCTTTTTTCTTGACTCTGAATAAAACTCAATTGTGGGTTCTGAGAAGGTGACATTTTGGGATTTCCCTCTTTGTAAAACGATTTCTGCCTAGTTTATTGCCAGTTAACTTTAGTTTAATGACCTCTTAAAAGTTGGCATTGTAAATAAAACAAGTTGCAAAAAAGTTTTCTGAATAGAATTAACAACGTATTATCTTTATTCATGAGTAGGAAACTAGAAAAAGTCTACTTGAGGTGAAAGTTTGGAGTGGGGTTATTAGGATGTCTTCCAGTTTCCTGGAGTCAAGGAGTACCACTGGTATTGATGAGCCTGTACGTAGTAGGGCTCCCTTAACTGGATCTAAGGACTTGTTTTTGCATTTTTAATCCTGAGCTTTGAATATGTTGGCTAGAGACTCAGTTACTCCTCATTTGTTGTTTGGGGGGAAATATAACTAGATGGTCTGTTAGCTTTTCAATTAAAAAGGACAAATAACCTATGTGATCTGTCATCTTTTTATAATCAGTGATTCCATGTGGGGGAAAAGTCACACTACTTGCATGTAAAAATAATTTAACCTTTAACATTAAAATGTCTGGCAAAACCTAAAAAGCATCCATCATGAATGCAAGATACTTTCAATAAAAAGTGAGTTGCATAGTAAAAAAAAAATAAATTAAATAAAATAAAATAAAATAAAATAAAATGCCCTTGCAAGTGAATGTGGCCAGGACAAGTGTAAGTGCATCATATTAAAAAATGCAGTTTTATAAATACCATTGCAGAGTGTGCATATCAATAGATGTCCATTTTAAGTTTGTTGTTTTGTTCCATTGCTTCAGGTAGTTTACAGTCATCTGCTACTAGAGGCTCGAGCATCAAGAAAGACAGTGTCTGTCCACCAGTTTCTTGGACCTGGACATAGATAAACCTCAGGCATCTTCTGTCCCACTCACTCCCCCACCAGCACAGTGCCCCTTCACCTTCGCTCTCGGCAAACAGAAATTGTGACCACCCTTCTATTTTTCTCCTCAACTTTCACCATCAGCCTCACTCAGCAACGCTTCAATCAGTAACTATTTTCAAATGGATTTATTTTCTTTTGCTACTTGTTATTTGAATTCCTGGATTAACTCTAACATTATTTCATGGTTTTTCTACACTATAGTGCATGTCATTGAAGGAGGAAATTATAACTTGTATCTGATACTGCAGACTCTTATTGCCTTCTGCATACAAACATTAACACTAATGACTGATTAATTATTAAATAATTAGATCAGTGGCTTTGTAAAATGCTTTATATTGTGCAACAAATCTCTTAGAGATTCTAAGTACTTAAAATGTAATAGTGTTATTTGTAGAAATACAATGCACTCTACCAATGCATTATTTTTTCCATTGAAAACAATGAAATGTGGGCTGTATTTACCAAAACCTTATGTAACACATTAAAAACGAGTTGATCATCAAATAATCCAGCAACCACGCTCCTTGATATTTTCCCAAAGGAGCTGAAAACGTACGTCCACACAAAAACCTGCTCATGGATGTTTATGACAGCTTTATTCATAATTACCCCAAACCTGGAAACAGCCAAGATGTCCTTCAGTAGGGGAATGGATAAATAAACTGTGATACATCCAGACAAGAAATATTATTTGGTGCTAAAAGGAACTGAACTGTAAAGCCAGGAAAACACATGGAAGAAACTTAAATGCATGTTACTGAATGAAAGAAGTCAATCTGGGAAAAACTACATACTATATGATTCCAACTGTATGATGTTTTGGAAAAGGCAAAACTATGAAGACAGTAAAAAGTTAAATGATTGCCAGGGGTTGAGGAGGGGGTAACAAATACTTGGAGTACAGGGGATTTTTTTAGAGCAGTGAAAATACTCTGTGTGATTCCCTAATGATGGATATATGCCATTATTCATTTGTCCAAACCCATAGAATGTACAACATGAAAAGTGAACCCTAGTTAATGTAAACCATGGACTTTGGGTGGTTATGATGTGTTAACATAGGTTCATCAATTGTAACAAATGTACCAAATATACCAAATGTTGATAATGGGAGTTCTGTATGTGTGGGATCAGGAGCTATATAAGAAATCTCTACCCTCTCTTCAATTTTGCTTTGTATCTAAAACTGCTCTAAAAAAATCTTTTTTAAAAAATATGAATATAAAAAAGCATGTGATTTAGATAACAAAGGAGGCCCTTGTATGTCTATGTATGTCTCCGATATATGTGAGTTTGTATATATTTCTGTTTATGTACATGTATATATAAATATACTCACTTTATGTACAAATATATATAAATATACTCACTTATGTATATCTATATAACTATACTGTTTGTATATATGTATACATATGTCTCTTTTCAGCAACCTAGGGTGGAAAGTATTAGACTTTGGCAGCAGATAGATTTAACACTAAATTCTGGCTCCCCTACTCACTGGGTGACCCTCAAGCTCTTAAGCAATAAAATGGCTAGTCCATATATATCTACTTTATAATTTTTCCATAAGGAGTAGAAGTAATAAAGTATGTAACTACCCTAGCAAAAGGTCTGCCAGATAGTTCGGTGGTCAACAAATTTTAGCTTCCTCCTGGCATATTCTTAGGACTCTCTCTCACTACGGAAGTTCCTTGAATCTAGAATCAGAGCACGTTTATCTTTGTGTTCTCAGCACCTAACCCCATAATAAGCCCTCTGTGGATGTTTGTTGAATACAATGGAATTGCGATGCGGGCTACTAAGAAGTCAAGTACTAGTCACTGAAGGATTTTGAAGAGGTTTTTTGATTTCCTTCCATTACCTCTTAAGTTAGTGGAGGAATCTTATTTTAAGGCTGTGTCTGAGATCTTATCAAAAATATATCACAGGGCAGGGGCGCCTGGGTGGCTTAGTCGGTTAAGCGTCCGACTTTCGCTTAGGTTATGATCTCGCGGTTCGTGGGTTCGAGCCCCGCATCGGGCTCTGTGCTGACTGCCAGCTCAGAGCCTGGAGCCTGTTTCAGAGTCTGTATCTTCCTCTCTCTCTGACCCTCCCCTGCTCACGCTGTCTCTCTCTCTCTCTCTCCTAGAAATAAATAAATAAAACATTAAAAAAATATATATATATCACAGGGGAAAGTTTTCCTTTTCTTGGGCTTTTCAAATTTATTTTCTACCTTACAATCTTCTAGCATAAAACTTACTGTTCTTTGTGTCAGTTTTATTTCAAAGTGGCAATTTCTATATCCCTTGAGAGAGAAGGATTGGTTTTCTCTTTCTATAGGAATAAAATAAAATAAAATAAAATTTAAAGGCACACTAGATCGTAGAACTAAATAAAATTTTTCCATTTCAGTCTTTCACCTTTCCAATTTAATTATAGGAAAATTTCTTTTCTTATTTTTCACTCAAACTTTGTGTTGTCAATTTTCATCATTATTATTTGCTTTTAACAAGTTAGACTTTTATATTTTTTTCCCTCCTCACCATTCTGTGGTGCATCTGGCTTCCCATTTGTTAAGAAAATAGGCAGAAGATACTATTGAACTACCGTATGTTTCCCAAACGGAGGCCTTAATTTCAATTATACCCATGCAAGGACAAACTAGAACCTGAGTAAATGTGAAACAGCTGATTATTATAGCTTTGAGATTGGCCAGATCGCAATCAACTGGAACTTCCTTCTACCTAATTTTAATTCCATTTGAGAATTACCCATGATAATTTGACCCAGGTCTCTCCACAAAGTAACATTATCTTAGAGTTTACAATTTCGCTAACCTCTTGTGATTAGAAAAGGGAGTATTTCAAAACTTCCACTTGATTACTCTGAACTGTGACGGTTTCCTTTGCATGGGTTAAGCTTGTGTTACTTGCATTTAATATGGTAAATTCAGTGTGACCAATGCAGGCTGATGCAATGCCTTCACAGAAAAAATACTATGAAGGAGGATCTTATTGAAATCATATCCAGCATCAGACTGGCAAAATGGTGATTTTTCAATCAAAACTATTAAGTACCAGAGGCTATTTTGAACAAACTCCAATTAAAAGATGAATTAATTTAGAATCATTTAAAACCCTACATGACACTGACTTACCTGATTGAATGGACCCTTAATAGCTTTCTCTCTTCCTCAGAGAATGGAAAATATTAAAAATCAAATCTGGAAATCATTTTTAAAACCTAAGTTAGAGCTTAGAATAATGAAATGAGAAGTTTGAAATTATATCCTAATCAGATTAACAAAATTGCAAACTCCAAAATAATGTTGCTTTGTGAAGAGACCTTTATCAAATTACCATGAAGTGAAATATGGAATTAAAATTAGGTAGAAGCTGAAGTAACATTTTAGTAAGTCACCATGCATTGTAGTGTATCTAAAAGTTATTGTATGTACATTTAAATGTAGTGCTGATCTGATCATGAGGATGAGAACAAATATTTAAGACTTAAAGTCCAATCACTAGAGGAATGTCTGAAACCCTTTTCTTTCACAGTTCTAAAAATAAAGTTAGAATATGTTGATTATATACTTGAATTAAAAAAAAAGTCAGAATGTAATTTTCTAATTCTACCTTACACTCTTTTTGAAAATAACAAAGATAAATAAATAAAATAAGTTTCTGAAGTTTTCAAATATAATGTTTAGAGATACTGAAAACTTCAAATAAAGTTCATACTTAGGGGGTACCTGGGTGGTTCAGTCGGTCGGGCATCCGACTTCCGCTCAGGTCATGATCTCGCAGTTTGTGAGTTTAAGCGCCATGTCAGGCTCTGCACTGACAGCTCAGAGGCTGGAGCCTGCTTCAGATTCTATCTCCCTCTCTCTCTGCCCCTCCCCCATTCACACTCTGTCTCTCTTTCAAAAATAAAAATAAAAACATTAAAAAAAATTTTTTTTAAGTTCATACTGAAGTATTATTTTAAAAAAGCAAACCTTTCACCTTTTCACAATTAGGAATATCTACTCGGTGCAACTCTTGTAGCACTAAAAGCATAAGCTCAAAGAAGGTAGGAGCCATGTATCTCTTGTTTCTGGCTCTATTCCCAAGAACTAATGTAATGCTAGCTCATATCATGTGCTTCACCAATATTTGTTGAATGGATGAATAATCATGTATATGCACTAATCCTAAGAGATACCACTAATTGACTAATAGTGCTCCCAT